GAAACGATCGAGCTTCCCATCGAATTGAAATACCGAATTCGTACGAAGGATCGAACATAAACTGAATATGTCATTGAACGGTTTTCAAAACGTTTTCAACTCTGGAAATATCACCGAGAAATGGTCACGCACTGAAAACAAGTTGAAAGAACGTAATGCAAAAGCATCTTAAAATATTCCACACTTAGGTTTTTTGGGTATTAGGGTAAACTGGCTTAGAGGCGAAGCAGAACGTCTGGTTCATGAAGAACACACACAGTGTTTCACATAGACCGAAGACACGTGCTGCTTCTTCGCGTGCAGTCTTAGCGGCCCCAGGGGACTGCAACTCGACCAACACCGGTTCTTCTTCGTTCTCCCTAGTCACGTGATATTACGTCACACAAAGCGCGCGAAAGATAAACCCTTTGAAGGTTTTGCACGAACTAGCATCGGGTTTAAGAAGAAGGGGTTGTGGTTTGATCAGTGTAATGGCTTTCATCAATACCACGCCCGTGGTACCACGTTCTAGCGTCCACCGAAAGCGATCGCCATTTTTCGATCGCGTTGGATCACGCTTTGTGCAGTGACGAGCGGCTGGTGCAAGTTTGGGTGAATGGCAAGTAATCGAATATTGAAGAACTGAAATAAGGTTAATTTTTGGCTTGTCAAGTGTTGTGTATTATCTATATTACTTGTGATTGACAATGATAAGCAATATCACAACGCTTTTCAAATGCATGGATGAATGAATTGGATGAAGAAAATTCATATGCAAGACCAATCAATGCAGTAAGTATATTTATATGTTGTATAGATGCCCCATAGCTTAAATTATGCATGTGGTATTTAGACAAATCTTCAAAATGAAGATAAATCAGGAATAGAATCAGCTTGCCATTTTGGGGTCAACTGATTTAGGTATACCTAAATTCAGCTGATTTTAATAAACATATGTTCTTGCTGATTAGTGCAATATTTTATCTAGCTGCACTTTATATGTTAAGTGCATTATTTTATTTTTGGAGTAGGCTCATCACCTCTGAAGTCAATCTAAGTTTCTTTACTCCCTGCCTGTTGAATAACGCATCCGCCCGACTCTTCATTCTAGGGGACGAGGCCATCTCCGCTCTGATTGAGGCCCTGGAGTCTGAGGAGAGCGTCCAGGCGCGCGGAGACGTTCGACATCGTCGAAAACGCTGGCTTGAAGCTGCAGTGGTGGAAGGAGAAACTGTATGTGATTTGGGAGAATGCGATATCGCCACCCGGCTGCTGACATGGGCGATAGCGCATACTGTGTTTGGGAAAACATCCACTTGCTAAAGCTAAAAATGTGTTCATATTTGTACAGAAAGCAACCCTGAGCGTGAAGGAATCTACCTGAATAATTTAGCATGCCCGGAAGGCTCTGGACTCTGGAGTTCTTTGGCTTGGATGTGTAAGGCAAGTGACACGGCCGAGGGAAAGCGTTCCTGCAGGCTGATTGCGGGCTGATCGCAGGCTGATTGCGGGCTGATCGCAGGCTGAATGCGGGCTGGTTGCGGGCTGATCGCATGGGCTGGTTGCGGGCTGGTTGTTCCTGCCTGGAGACTTGCAGGCTGATTGCTCGGAGTAAAGAGGAAGGTAATACATTTTAAGGTGTATCAAATACTGTGTTTGCGCAGCAGATGTGACGGCGCAGGTCGCTGGCCATGCATGGGAGGTTCAATAGACGAATGAACGGGGATTTTGCGGTATTGCAATAGAACTGAGAGGGTTCTACAACCGATATTCAGAACACAGGGTGGTTTCCCTATAAACCTCAGGGACCTCTTCACAGACCCGTTGGGGTTCTTATCTAGGTGCTAAGAACGCTCTTATTATAAACCCTAAACCTCATAAGAGTCTTTGGAAGAATCGTGTGGATTCTTTTGATGAGAATGCAAAGCCGTCTACGTGAAGAACCATGGGGGTTCTGAAAAACGGTGGCATAACATTTTACCCCACAGGGGTCTAAATACCCCTGTACGTTCTTAACGTTCTTCCAAAGTGTTTTCAGTGCGTGAATGAGAGTTCAGATAATTCAAAATTTGTTTCATGTTTTTATTTGCTTTTACTTGTTCGATAGATTTGGTCGTTTTTTGAATTGATTTGACTTTGTTTTAGTTCATGTTACCCGTCGAGGCGACTTCTGTTACTATTAAAACCAGTATCCAAATATATTGCGTTTTCATTTCAGATGTTCTTTTTGTTATTGTTGGCCTACGGCGGTAACAAAGCATAATTCCAGGTGCTTAAAACGATGGAACCGAGATGAATTGAATCCAATTTTCGATAAAAATACCACATGATATCAGACTTTCTCAACACTCCCCAATACAACCATAAGATGAGGCGGTAGGACGTAAAAAGAAAACTGAAGGCCAGGGTTACCAACGGGAATTTTTCTAAATCCCAAGATCGCCGCGCGAATTTCCCAAAATCGAGCTCCATATCCCAAGGTCGACAGGATCAAAGCCCAGTGTGCATCCCAAGGCCTATAGAAACCAAATATAGAGCAAATAAAGTGTATTTGACGTATTTTCAAATCTTTGGTTGACTAAATAAATCAATATCGTTAACATAACTTGCATTCGGCACAGTTACACACGCAGGCATAGGTACAGAGACACAGCAAGTTACCTGTCTGGGTTTTACGAGTTGAAGCATGATCCGTCGCAGTGGCGGATCAAAGGGGGGGGGGGGCAAAATGGGCATTTGCCCCCCCCCCCCAAACGGCATAATTTTAACATTACGCCTATGGACGATGCATGGAAAGAATCGATAAATTTTATGGTTTGCCCCCCCAGAACTCTGAGCTGGATCCGCCTCCGATCCGTCGGGCGTCACAATTCGCAAACAGGCGGCCAGGCCGGGTGTTAATCGACGCGGAAGCCACTGGGTATTTCGCTAAATGCCTCACTTGAGAGCTGAGACGGGAGAAACAAAGTGAAGACGCGTCAAATAAGGATAACTTATTCGTGCTTCGTTGGTTGCTTGGTAAGGTACAGTGAAACCAAACGAAAGAACGCTCGGTTGTGTTCGTCCAAAAAGGACGGTTTACAAAAAACAAACAATTAAGTTGTGTTAGATGTGTTCCTGATTCCTTTGTTTGGTCTTTATTAATACTTATTACTTTTCCTTTTTCCAATGATTAAAAAAATGTGCTAAAATTAGCGGGAGTCGTAAGCTCGGGACAAATCCCAAGGTTTGCTGTTGAATCCCAAGGTCCCAAGGTCGGGTTCAATATCCCAAGATCTTGGGACAAATCCCAAGCTTTGGTAACCCTGCTGAAGGCAGGAAATGAGATCCGTCGACACCAAGCCTCAAAGCGGGAGAAATTGGCACCAGTCGTTAGCATGCAGGCTTCAGGCAGCACCAATTAATGCAGAGAAGAGACTTCATAAATACATGAGAAGTACACTGCACAAAACAACAGATGATCGTAGGGGGACATCACATTCTCCGGATTCCGGAAGCTGACAAGGGACGACGGGACGTAAAGATAGCAGACATGGCGGCCACATACAGGGTGTTTCACAATAAATGTTACTTTTGAATAGCTTAAATGAAGATCTTACTTGTTCGTAAGCGCGTAAATTTTATATGCATTTTGCTGCAAATTTGTAGCGGTTTTTAGTCCTTACATTTTTTTTTTTACAAACCGTCAACGGTTCCATCAGTATGGAGTATGGACGTGCAATGCTAACACCGTCAAAACGGGGCCCTGTTCAAGTGTCTGCGGCCGCCGCGGCTCCCGCGGCCAAAAAGGCGGAGCTTAGCTGGCGGCCAATCAGGCGAGAGCAGCATTCTGGGTAATGCGTAGCTCTTCCTGCGGCTCCCGCGGTCGCTCGGGAGCGACCGCAGGGAAACTTCGACATAAACTGCGCGCGTGAGACAAAACATTGCGGATTTCGCTCTTTGTTTCGGTTGATTTTATCATGTTGTTAAGGAATACTTGCTTCAAAAAGGTAGTAATTGATGTAATAAAGCCATTATAAAGTCATTACACACAAAATTTTGATCAGCATCTCCTTTCAAAACAACCGTGCCATTCTCGTCGCCGGCCGCAGCGGCCGCAGCCGCGAGGGTGTTCAACCTAACCGAAATTAGGCTCCGCCTCCCGGCCGCGGGAGCCGCGGCGGCCGCAGAGCACTTGAACAGGGCTCGGGTCAATTCGCCGTGTACAGATGATGAGGCGGTATGGGTGGTCATGCATTACGGCGCTTTGCGGAGTCTGACCGCAGTGCGACGGAGTTTCGGTAGCCATTTAAAAGGAGGAAGGATATTCCGTCAAAAATGTCTTTCAAACGGGTAGTAGAAAGGTTCCAGAAAACTGGAAACACGAGACCAGCCCCGACTCCTGACCGGACGGCGATCCCAGAGAATCTGGTTGAAAAAGTCAGACGGAAGGGTGGCATAGTGGAGAACCCGTGAAGGGTGCTGAGCTGAAAGTTATATGTTCATCAGTCCTACTGTTCTGCTGTCTCATGGGGTCACTCATGAGCCATATTGTAATACATGTCACTGAAACATCGTCGTTTGAAAAGCAACATTCATTGTGAAGGACCCTGAAGCTTAACAGCGAATTGACCTGTTTTGATTGTGTGGACATTGCACGTACATAAAAAGAATGCAGTTGATGATTCGTCATAGTTTTTGTAAGGATAAAAAACCCGAAAGAATTTGCAACAAAATGAATATGGAATTTATGGGCATACGAATAGCTGAGGTCATTTTAAAAGCTTATCAAAAGTAACGTGTATTGTGAAACACCCTGTAGAGTACATACAGTTTGACACTATGTCAACGGTACCACAGCGCGTGGACAAAGCATGGGACGCGCACGCACCAAAACCAACGGCCAGTACGTACTTCAAGCAGTCGCAGTCGCTGTAATTTCTCCATTAGACGAAACTGCTGCTGCACTGTGACTTAGAGAACAAGGTGCACTTTTCATCCATACATGCAGTACCTACTGACGTTGCCAATCAAAACATCCATACTTTGGGTCAATTTTATTTTCGATTCATATCACGGTTGAATGGAAGACTAGGACACTAGCATTGCATCTACTTCAGTACACAAATCATTGTAAATTCCTGAGATCACATTGTAGGGAATCGATCAATAAATTACCCGTACTATACAATCAAACGGCGTAATAAACAATAAAGTGATCAACAACTGCAGACTACCGTTCAGCACTATTCCTTCGAACAACACAGCAATATCGGATCGAAATAGTTAGTAGCCAGTAGCCACTCAACAGTCGTTTCGCAAACGGAAGACTCCTGTTTCGAAGCGTTATGAAAGCTGAAACTGGTGATCAGCTTTGAATGTTACACGGTATCTTTAGTTTAACATGGGCATCTGCAATAACAAACACATGTCTGAGGGAGCTCCCACCCTATCAGCTCGCTGCTCCACACCACTCTCGTTAACCCGACTGAAAACCACTCCCGAACGGTCATCTAGCTGAATACATCACACATATGGCACCTCTACCTCCTCTATCAACATACTACGTGTTCCTCTTCTCGAACCGGGCCATGAGTTCGTTCATGTCAAACGTAGCCGCTGGCTTGTGTTTCCGACTGCGGATCCGATGCATCCCGTCCCCAATATTCTCCAGAGGCGGCGGCGACTCCGGGCCGGCGCCCTCCTCCTCTCCAGTCGGCGGCACCTCGGAGACGCGTTTGGCCGCCTTCTGAACGGCCTGTTTGATGATCAGGTCCAGCTGTTCCTTCATGTTGGGCTCCGGAGGAGCGGCCACCTGGTTCGGTTTGTCGTGACCGCCGACGCGCGGCCCGTCGTCACCGCTCGTCGATGGGTCGTCGGTCGGCTTTGGCCCGTCGACCGGCGGCGGATCGTCGGTCCGCGCCGCCGCCGCCGTGGTCATCTCGCTAAGTACCGAGTTCATGGCCCGCCGCACCTCTGGGGTCGGCTGGGCGGAGTGCTCGTCACCCGACACGTTCCCCGAGCTGCCGCCCGAGCTGACGGCCACCTCGGCCGGCTCGTCAGAGCTCACTGAGAAGCGGTCCTCCTCGGGAGCGGAGGGAGAATGGGGAGAGGCGGGGGAGGCGGGGGAGGAGGCGGCCAGCACCTCGCCGAGCACCGCGTCCATCGCGCGCCGCACCTCCGCCGGCGGCTCGGTTGCAGGCGGCTTGGACTCCACTGTCGTCTCAGCGGGCTGGTTGGCTCCGAGTGAGCTGCCCTGCTCCACTTCCCTCTCTTTCTCCTTCTTCTTCTGCTCTTCCTCATCCTCTCCCTCGCTCTCGCCCTCCCCCGCGGCGGCTGCGGCGCGTGCCATGGCCGTCTGCACCTCATCTCGAACGGCTCGGATGGCTCGCTGCACCTCTGGTTGCTCTGTGGGCTCATCCTCTCGCTCTGAATCTTCATCACCGCTCACCGGAATAATAACAAACTTGTCGCCGACGCGGCGCGCCAGCGGACTTTGCGGACTCTGCGGCGGGATGTTCTGGAAGCTCGAGTTTGAGATGACACGCTGTAGCGGTCGGTGGCCGGGACCGATTGGCAGAGGGGTGAGCGGCGGTCGAGAGCCTCCCCCGCCCGTGGGAGAGTTGGGAGGGGTGCGTACTGCCGACAGACACTCACTGATGGCCGCGTGCAGTCGCTCCAGGTGTTGTTTCTCCTCCGCTGTGAGAGGATCCACTCTGGAGGTCGGAGGAGGAGCAGGGGTGACGGGAGGCGGTGGAGGGCCCCGCGCCGCCTCGGCAGCTTTCTGTCGGTCGGCCAGCGCCGCCCCGCGTCCCAGGTCCACCCAGCCGCGGTTGAAACAATCACAGATGGACGCATGAAGCGCAGCCAGTGCCGCCGCCGGGTCCGCCTCCTGCTGCAGTGCCGGTTCGACTGCCATCTGTTCAACCACTGCCTCGTGAGTCCTCTGTACTTCTTCCGTAAATCCTTCGGGCAGAGACGGCGGCGGGTCGCGCGGGGCCTCGGCCGCCTCTGGGGGCGCCGGAGACGGAGTCGCCTCACTGGCCGCAGCCTCGTGTCTCCTCCAGTGCTCAGCCAGGAGCTGATCCTTGCGGCGCGAGTCGGGCTCTCCGCCGGCCAGAAGTGCCGCCACCCGCTCCGTCGTCTCGTGCAGCTCGCTGTCAGGAGGGGCCTCAGAGTGAACCTCAACACTGACCCTGATCGGCACAGGCGCACCGGCCGCCGGAGCCCCCAGACAACGCGCCACGGCCGCGTGTAGAGCCGCCTGCCGCTCAGCAGTGCGCTTCTCCTCCTCCGACTGTTCAGCGATGACGGGCGCGGCGGCCGGCCGGGGCGGCGGCGGCGGCTCATAGCCCTGCTCCAGTCGGTCCGTCTCGATCTGCCGCTGTACGAGCGCCAGCTGCCGGCTGCGGCTGGGGTCGCCACCGTCCGGCCGCAGCGTGGCCTCGATCACGGCGTGGAGGCCCCGCTGGCGCTGCACCGTCTGAGTGAACATCACCAGAGTCCGCTCCTGATCCAGGGAGTCGGCCGCCTCCTTCGCCTCCCCTCCCTCCTTCTTCCCCTCTCCATCACCAGCCTCCTCTTCCTTTTCCTTCTCTCCGGCTCCGACGGCCGCCTCATTAGCCCTCCTCTCCTCTCCATCGTCCGGGGCCGTCTCCACTATCAGCTCTGTGGGCTCGGAGCCGACTGAGCTTCTCCCGGCCGCCAGATGCGGTGAGCTAGCCGCCGACCGCTGCAGAGGAGTCGCAGGCTCGATCACAATCGTCGGCGGCACGAGGTTTGTCATCTGCACGTGTTCGCGCTTCCGCTTGCCGCTGTCTGAGGCGGCGGAGCTGTTCCTTATCCCGTAGCCGAAGTACATCGCCAGCCCTAGGGTGGTCGGGGCGGGGTTAGAGTTAGTAAGTGAGAGTGTGGGTTAGGCCAGGCAGAGCATGCAAGATTATCGGCTCGGAGATGTTAGTGCAGCAGAGAGCTGGGTAACCGGAGTGCGAGTAAAATAGGCATAAAACTGAAATCATGCAGATAAGAAAAAAAAAGAAGAAAATGCAAAAGATGCAAAAGGAACCGCAAACTAAAGAAAATAAAACGTGTTAGAAGGTCTGCGTGCGATGAATGCAGTGAATCATGCAGTGCAGTCAGGTCGGCCAAACATGACGACTGCTCTCACCGAGAATCATCCAGATAGCGAACCGGATCCAGGTGGCCGGGCCCAGCTTCATCATCAGGTACACGTTAGCGAACACGCTCAGCATCGGCAGGAACGGCACTAGTGGCACCTGGCGGCCGCGGCGGGAAACACGAGCGGTCAGAGGCGGGTACACGGGAAACGAGCCACGCGTGGGATGAGGAGTGAGGACTGAAGAGTCAAGGGGGTATAGAAGACCGACGCTCGAATATTGTGGGCTTTGGTCGTCGCTGGAGCCATTAGAGAAAAATACACCGCTCAGAGTTGGCGTGTGAATTGATAGTATGAGCAGTAGTAACTTCAGAGCAACAAAGAATCTGTCCAAGTGCGATACAAACTAGACTGTGATGTCCGAATAAGACGGTCGAGACAAGCTTCTTTTCGCTTGACTGCACATGAGATGTTAAGTCGGATTGCACGTAGCCTGCCCTAAGCCGAAATTTCAACTCCACTGCCACGACATTTGTGTAGAATCAGAGTATAATCACGCTCGCGTAGAATCAGGAGAATCCCGCCGGGTTGGACGATCCTCTTCCCATTGGGCCGCCCAAACTCTGCTCACCTTGAAGAAGAGGTGCGCCTTGGACTCGGGCTGCAGCTTGACGATGAGCACACAGAGTAGCATGGCCGTGCCGAGTAGGGCAGCCAATGCGATGGCCCACGGTTCGGCGTCTGAGAGCTCCTCGGCAGCAAACACCAGCACGGCACAGAATCCCACCGTGATGACGCCTGGAGAACAACACATCACAGCTGTAACGACACTGATATACAGCAGCAGCAACCAGTACGGCGCAGAAGGCCACCGTGATGACGCCTGGAAACGACACATCACAGCTGTAACGACACTGATATGTATGTAACGACACGGAGAATAGCAGTTGATTGGAAAAAATATGTCATCAAATATCATATCCCACGTCACGTCACACACCCAAATTGCAACAACACCACCATCTCCCTCCGCCAAAACACATCATCCCTTTACGCCGGCTGACGTGCCAACTGACGTGACGTTGACATTTAGTACCCAGCATCCCCGTCCGTACCGTAAGCGATAGTGATGTGGTTGACCAGCCGCGCCGACTCATGTGACGGGTTCTGCTGCCGGCCCAGGTTGAACACCCGCGATACCAGGGTGGTGTTCTTGTCGGAGCCGAGGAGCAGCTCGGTGCTGGCGGTGGCCGGCAGGGTCGGTCCGTCCGCCAGGTCCGCCTCGTGGTCAACCAGGCCCAGAGTCTCGTCCCGGTACCTGAGGGGAGGAGGGACGGAGTGAATACCGACTTTTGCGCGGCGCACGTCGGACACGTCGGACAATGAAGTCATAATCTCAAGAACAAGAAAACGACAAAGATCTTATTTAAAACTTGATTAGGTCAGTTTCAATTTTTTATATTGTTCGAATTTACATAACAATAACTAAGGGGCACGGTGAGCTAACTATGCAGACAAAACACAAGCAAGAAACACTTTCTCATTTGAAGCACGCTGTTCCAGCCGGCCAGCGCCAATGTTAGTTACGGGGGTCGGGAGCGAGGAAGGGCAGTACCACGTAGCGGCTCAGAGACCCCAAACCGGTACCCTCTACCGCCACCGTACGGCCTCGCCGGCACCAGTGCGACCTAGTGCTCACTTCAGGTTAGTAGGGATCCGTGCTCATCCAGTGTTCTACACAGTGCGAAGCTTCTGCCAACCAGCAATGCATCTGGGTTACTGTGGAAGCGTGCATCAGCGACGGCCCAAGACGGCACAGCTAGCGGCCACACGCTGCTTATAGGCCACGAGTCCTGGACGAACCGGCAAGAGCCAGAAGCCACTCGATATCAACCCGGTCTGGGCGCCTCAGTAGTAGATAGACGGTAGAAAGACGTCGCTATTCAGCAGTCCAATGCCATTATTTGTGTAGCCGATAGGGTAACTGGGGCTCGGGTACTCTCATTCACCAGGCGGTAGCTGGACAGTCAGTAGTGATGCCGCTTTGCAGACATTAGCCGCCAGCCAGCAATGTCTGCCAGTACGTTCACATCTGCAGCTGCTATTAGGAACCATTCAGCTGGTATGTGTGTTTAGTCTTTACCAGATAGAAGCGGGGGCGAAACGTTCGGAAATTTCGCCCACCCCTCTCTGGCTGAGCTGGTGTTTTGGTGATACGCCGGAATCTGGGACTGTCTTGTTGGGCGGACTTGTTAGGCGGTACGGGATCAGGAATCCTTCATTTGCCACTATCTAAATGTTTTTTTTTCATGTGCTTTGCGGTTGTTCTGACTGACGGAAGATGGGATCGCATGGTGTAGCAAGAAAGCCATGTGGCTGATAATACCCTAGACTCCGTGTTACAAGAGATTACGGCTCTCCCATGTGATAACGTGATCACGAGCGTCTTAGATGTCCCTTCTGCTGCCCGGCCGTCACCCAGCCTGTGACATTCCAAGAGTGACACCCATCTAACGACACAGTGATCATCTCCCAACCGGATCGAGCCACGGTCACCGTTGTTTCTGATCGTGCCACCCCGACTCCAATTGTACCTCCGACAGCTATCGCGATAGGTCTGCACCGCAAAAAGGATCGCTATTGTCCCGCTGAGACCAGAATAATCGGAATTCCGGTAAACGAATTATCTGGAAACTAATTTAGAAACTTCATCTGATCAGGCTAGACACTAAATGGACCAATGCCACACCGGTGTATTGGGAAAACGTGACAAAGTCCCGATTTGAGGCTGATACTGTAAGTGGACAGGTCTTTCGCTACGTCTCATTCTTAGAAGAGGCAGGTGCAAAGTATATTGGTAATTAGTATCCCTATTTGTGGAGCGGGATTTGTGGTCGGATAAGAACATGAGATACCATCAGTGTGATCGATGGTCTGCAAGGCTGCAGATGCGGTGGCTTAGGCGATGTAAAAAGACAAAAACCCAAAGGATATTAATTGCCAAGTTTATCACAAGTGTCTTCACTTGGTAAACTGAAGCTTATTTTGAAAAATACGAGCCTCCGTATCACTTGCAAATAAGAAATATATCAGATTCAGGTAAAACGCCATTGACACATTCAAAAATACGGTGCGTTGACGCATTGGTTGGTTCTCAATTCTCGTGATTGTCAAACATTATCTGCTGAAGGGAAAAGACCCAACTGGCAAGAATTTGGAACCAAAACGCGCAAGCAAAACCCCTTTTGGCTAATACTGACCGCTAAGTCTCAGGCAAACAGCCTCTTGATGGCCCAACTCCCAACGCCAATCCTGATCCATGATTCCCTGTCAGAGTAATTGTTCTCAGATTCATTTATGTAGGAAAGTCACTCAAAAGTAACATCAGGGAGTCGACAGAAGCTGTCTCTTCGACTAAGCGCATGAGCTAAAAATTTGTGTGGATGAACATTGAACGTGTGACTACCACAGTTGCTGGTGTGGGAACAAAAGCCAGGCGTAGCCAAGTTCGCCACTTCAAGTCATTGTTTCTTCTGCTTCTTACTTCAGCTTGAAATTATGAAGGACTGATTTAATATGACTTCATTATGAAGGACTGAGTTAGTGATTAGTATTTAGTGCTGCAAACTACAAGATCCCACACTTCCTCTACCAGACATCTACCGTTAATAATCGTTCTATGATTAGCGTGCCTATAGTTAGTGGCTAGTGCACTAGCGCGCTGGACTTCATACTCCATGGGCGCGCAGTCTAACTCATTCTCGGCACAAGCTATTTTCACTGCGAGTGCACGCGCGTGTATGCGTCACACTTGCATGCGCTGTGCATGCGTGCGTACGTGTGTGTGTCGCCCTCCACCACCTGTGGCCGCGAGTGGTTTGAGCCGGCGCGGTGCCTTACACAGCTGCGGCAGACAGTCGCAGCAGTCGTCCCTCGGATGGTGACGGTTCGTACCTGTAACACTGGCCTCCGTCAGAGGAGGGACGGGGCGCCACCCGACGGACCTACAACGACGGACGGATAGACGGACGGACGGGCGTCACGAACAAGCGCACAACCAGAGCAATACCGTGCTTTAAACTAGCCCTCATAGGAAGCGCACATATATAAATGAAAAGCTCAGTAAAGCGAAAAATAGACGAACAAATAAACATTTCAAAGACAAGCAAGTAAGCATTACAAAACATTGGCTAAAGTAAATAAGAAAAAATGTAAATAAGAGGGGAGAGCAAAACACAAAAGTAAAAACACAAAATCATAGGAAACAATAGCGCGTTATATGGCACCAAAGTAACACAAAAGTGACAATGTCGCTACATCGAAGCACAGCGAAAATAAAACGCCTTGAAAGCAAAACAAATCTCGCCAACATTTACAACTTATTTAGCTAACTTCAGCGCTCAGCCTCCCTCTCAAAGATCAGATAGTGTCCAAGCATTTCTGAATATCCATTCTCCCAAAAAACACATACCCCGAATATACGACAAGACAGCCAATTATCCACTAACTAGACACCCAGCATCCAGCCAGCCAGTCGGCCGTCTAGCCAGCGGTCCCGACATCCATTTATCGCTCCACTTACCGGAGAACCAGCACGCAGACGGCCACCAGCGAGTAGGCCAGCAGCGTGCCGATCGACATCATGTCCACCAGCTGCTCCAGGTCGAAAAACGACGCCATCGCGGCTGCGGAGAACGGGAGGGGTGGGGGTGGGACGGTCACGCACCTCCAGCGTACGGCATGACTAATTCAGGCATACACTACTGATATAGGGTGTATGCTTCAGGTCTTACAGCCTACAGGCAGTTAGGGATAGACAAAAAGGTGTGATGAAGCTATCACATCTCGAACAGCAGTCGCATTCTGTATCAGCTTCTGACACCGAACACTCCTAATGCAAAGAAATATACGTTGCACACAGCACACGCGACACTATACATTTTTATCACCTCAGCCCACCAGCCACCAGATGTTCCATGACCCCCCGTGACTTTAAATGACCTTCGTTGACATCTCATGACCTCATGACCTCATCTCATGACCTCCCGTGGCCTCACCAGCGAACACGCCGGCCAGCAGGGTGGACCAGAAGGGCGTCTGGAAGCGCGGGTGGATGTCGGCCATCCAGCGGAAGATGAGCCCGTCGTTGGCCATGGCGTACAGGATCCTCGGCAGCGGAAACAGCGCGCCCAGAAGGCTGGCGGAGACCGGGCGGGTGGGTTTACAACAAGGGTCAGGTGAGGTCAAACAAGGGTCAGGTAGGGTCACAACGGAGCTTTGGTGGAGGGAGGGAGGGTCAAATGACGGGCAAAAGGGGTCAGGTGAGCTCAAACAGGAGTCAGTTGAGGTAGGTGGGCCAACCGGTTTTATCCGATCATATAGAGATAACAGGCATTGGAACTCACCTAGTAAAGGAAAATTCTGACTCACCCTTATTAGAAAGGATTGATGTCTCCAATAGAGTAGAACCTGAACAGGACTCTGACTCACTCCAGTTCGAATCTGACTCACCTGGATGAGAGTCCGAACAGAGCGCCGATGGTGACGATCCAGCGGGCCGACTCCCAGCCCAGGTGGTCAAACACGGCCGGAATGGGCGCGTCCTCGTCCTGTGAACAGGTCACAGGCAGAGGTCCATGAATAGAGGTCAGACGACAGAGGGAAGATATATCAGGGGTCAGAGGCCACAGGTCGTAGGACAATGGTCAGTGGTCACAGTTCAGACGACAGAGAGCGCATTTCCGAGATCAGGAGTCACAGGCCAGGGGCAGCACCACAGTCTCCCAATCAGGAGCGGTCGTAAGAGGGCAGATGACAGAGGTCCTTGAAAGTACAGCCTTGTCCAAACAGAAATATCCATCATACAAAGGGGTAGCTAGCTAGCAAAGACACCGACAGAGCGCCCGGGGCGACCGCTCTGGGCTCTCACCTGGAGGTAATAGGGCCACATGAGAGTCAGCACCGCCGACACGCCAAAGTAGGAGAGAAAGATGACCGTCAGACCGATGATGATGGCCAGGGGGATGGAGCGCTGCGGGTTCTTCGCCTCCTCACCTGAAACACAAACACAACACACGTAAGGTGAGGGTAAAACAACGTATAAATAAGCGCATGACAAAATACAGTTGAAACTGGACCAAAGGCATAAAGGCGATACAATTTGCATGCCAATGAGCACAATAATCCGCAAACGCTGCACAAGAAACAGTGTAAGTCATTTCAGATATCGTTGAAACACAGGCTCAATCCATGTGTGAGCAGTGGGTATATTAGAAGCCTGCTGCGGCCATGATTATGAATTATGATGATATCATTGTGTGACACATACAGCGCATATGCATAGTTATGTCTAGAGCAAGTCAGTTCGGCAGCTGTCCTTCCACCATAGATGTCAGTTGTCGCGTCTGATGACCGCTTGGTGGTATTGTCTAGAAGGCGCCATACCGGTCCCGAACTCGATTCAACAGGCAATTCTCAGCTGCAGAGCCAACCAAATAAAAAGGCCGGATAACAAGGTGTTGGGGCGGGCCGGAGTCTCCTCTAATAATCCCTGCAGCAGCAAGAGAAAAATGTAATAATATCCAAAAAGGAACAGGATGCCACAGTGACTGATGAAAGTCCAAAGATCACTTACGTATAATCCCAGCAATAGACATCGGTAAAACGTAAAAATGGAGTCACATCTTTACGCCGACATAACGGAAATATCCTGCGACATTACGCTCGGCGAAAGTTTCTCCCGTGTGAGCCGGTCTGGCGATTCCTGCACACCTCAGCTGGTAAGACCGGTCTCAGCCGGCCTGCCGGTATGTTCCGGGTATGTGTTGTAGACTGGATCAAGGGAGGGCACTGGTGAGCGCCTCAGGAGGGAGTGGGGAGCCCAGGTGCCACCCAGTGACCTCCAGACTGACGACCGAGGGGCACCAGACACACGGCCGGCTCAGAACGCTGACGGCTCTGCTTGGGATGTGTGGCAGGACGTGGGGAGGACCCCAGTTCGAACACCCGGCAGAGACCGTCAGCGCAAATTGTCAGGAAGGATTGCCAGCAACAGCACGGAGCGTGGCCGAGCCACATGGTGTAGTGATTAGTACCCGATATGTGGAGGAGGCGTCGATTAGTTGTATCGTCTAATTGTTGTCTCGAAGGCTTAAAAACGTTCTAGGATTAAACACCAGCAAGATTCTATAGGAACATTTTCATGTGTAGGCATCATAGGTGGCGGAACGGGGAGGACACCGGGGCACCGTGCCCCCTTTGATTTTGGCATTTTAACATTAGCCCTATGGGCGTTGCATGGAAAGAATGGGACCAAAAGTCGGCAGTACCCCCCCCCCCGTTAATTAAAGGTGTTCCGCCGATACTGGTAGGCATATGAGACATGTGACACAGCTAACGCGGCAAAAAACTGACGTCAAGCGCTGATAAGATGTGATATGAAGCTAAATAAAAATAGTTGGTACAATGAGGCGGTAACTCGTGGCACTATACCTCACGACTCGGCCACAGACTGGGCTACCGCAACCGCAAAACTGGACCGCAAACGACCGGAGCGTGTGCTAAACCAAAGCCAGCGACGGCATCACAGCAGTTGGAGGATTATAGCCGGATTGTAATAATAATAATCGATCAAAATAATGTCAAATTGAATGGAGCTCATTTCAAAGAGGATGGACGATATTCCCCGAAATTTCATGGTGGAAGATAAACTGTCGACATACCACGTATGATGGTTGGAAGATTCTACTACCCGCTATTCCCTAGTCACAACTGAACAAACTGTCGCTCTTGATCCCTGCCTAGCCGATCAGCCATTGATTTAAACCTACCGTTCCAGTCTCAGCCTAGTACCTACCTAGGCACATCGGCTGATTATAGTCGCTCTTGGTCCCTCACCAATCCGTCGGTATAAATAGCTGCCTACTAGTTATCTCAGATCTCCCAAAATCTCGTAGAATATTGTTTCCCTGCTTTGAACACTGACAGCCGGCAGTGAAAACATCCGATTTCCTACCTGGCGGACTGTGTGGCAAGCGCCGTCCTGCAGCCGGAAACCAATGACATGGATTTTCATGTAGCAATCGAACTGTTCAACCGCCCCGCCCTCGGCTGTGGCTTGACAAGTTGCAAAGGCATGCCATGCGATTTGGCATTTACTGCGGTGAAAAGTTGACGTTCGATACTTCTAAGAACAAGTCCGTCGTAATGATCCCAGTGAAACCTTGTAATTGCTTACGGCACCCTTAGACCAGTGTTTGCATTATCGAAATATATGAGATTTGAGAATGTCAAGCATTTAAAGACTCTTGTTCAGCATCTGCAAAAGCACTGACTTTGACCGAGAGAGCAAATCATGAATGTCATGTAGGTACAAAAGCAAGCTTTGGGTCAGGACACCCGTTCAAAGGAGCTTGCGTTGTTTTCCACAGGCACGGAGATATGACACCCCACCCGACCGCATTTGCATACAAAGGGCTCAACAAGATAGTCCCAAATCCATACGCGAAACGTTGCATTGAGAAAGTGATGCGTCGCAATTGGAAACACGACGGAACTGTCGAGGGCTGGCACTACCTTCTGGTACACGTAACCAGATAGTTAAAATTAGAAATCCGTATCTACCGGTATTGGTTACAGGACAATAAGCATGCCAGCATTGCCCACCCTTAAGCCATGTAATTTTATTGACAGGACAGCATATCCCTGCACCGCGGGAATGTTCATTTCGTAATCGTGATTTGGACCCAATGACCTGGGCGAAACCGGCCTTCAAATCATGGACTTTCTGCTTCAAATTGCTCAGGCATAATAAATCATGTAAAAGCTAATAACGAATGTTAATCAAGGCAGCCCCTTATCGGTCTATATGCACCCAGCTATCGTGCAATATAGGTACCTAAATTTAGTAGGAGACAAGAGTTTGACAAGGATTTGTTGGTTTAAGTCATGCGATGTAGTTACACCCGGTGCGATGTACTTATTTATATACACTGTGGTTACACCTATCTCAGATAGGACTTAGGAATAAGCAGTGTGCAAACGAAACCTCCGTCAGAAGCAATAGGTGGGACGCTCGATCACACAACTGCCGGACGATTAGGGCATATTAGGCATGAAAAGGTAATTTTATTGACAGCTGTCGCAACTCGCTGCGCTAACGAAACTAATCCGTTTTTAGTAAGACTGATTGCATGGAAACCGGCAAGAGTACGGGCGGGACTTCTTGCATTTCCTGTCGCTGGCTGGTTTGGCACGTTCCAGTGACAGCTCGTTAGCCAGGAGATATTGATGAGATTGCGAAAATATTCAAGCCCTAGTCAGCAAGTGTCCTTACATGCTTGGCAATAGCATGCACGACCTGCCTTGCTGGCTTGGGCGAACACCTCACCTCTGCATTTTTTTTTTTGCGAGATATTGCAACACTTATGTACTTTATAGCGACTAGTATGCAAGAGTCTAATTTACCTTTAAATATTTGAAATCAAACCAATTAAACCCATTGAAAACAGCCCCCACATCCCGAATGTGATTGCTTTGCTACCGCGCTTTTAAATTTCAACATCCCTGACAAGTAAACGACTTCAACAGATACCGAATGCATCAATACCTATCACTGAACAAAATTTATAATTTGTCTATATTTCGAGTTCGTTTATGAGAAAAAAAAATACTTGACCTAATAAACAATATTTGTCGCTGAAAGTTGTTTCTATCGCACGTTTATCACGGGTAATTCAATTTTATGCATGGCATACCATTAATTTCCCTGTTGACTAGCCGAAAACGAAACGGAAGTCTAAGCCAATCTGGGCTTTTTTATTTTCGGCTCGATCCCGTAGTTTTTTTCAATTAATCAAGTTTTCGCCTCTTAGGCCCGCACCTGCTCCCCGGTGTTTTCTGGAAAATGAAACATTTCGGAGACTAAAACAGCATGAGATCATTAAACATTCCCGATCCGTGTGAAGATGTTCATGCAACTGTACGAGTATTGCAGCTCATGAAATGCGCATTACGCAGCCCATGAAATACGATGAGAAGAAAACCCAAAATATGTGGTTCTGTTGCAACTTCTACTGGGTGAAAACGAATCACAATTTTTAAGTGAGTGCAAGTCGGTGGTAAGCTTAAATGACACTCGCAAATACAAGCGGAACACCAATGCAGCATAAAAAGCATAAACTGGTTTCTGCGTATTGCATAGTATCTATACCTACTTCCACAAAAACTCAGAACATAGTCAGATGTAATGCAAATAAACCAGCAATAAGAACCACAATCAATCATGAAGCTGAAGTACTTGTGCCATATAATCCGAACCATATAATCCAAACCAGATCTGAAGCATTCATGACATGTGACTGGCTTCGCCAAAAATTCCTGGTAAGGCAGCACGGCTAAGAGAGGATGCCTGGCAGCGCTCTCGATCTAGTGGCGACCATAAACGCACATTAGACATATCAAACCAAATATTTGAGAGAATTCTGATGTCCTATTCGCCAATGACCACGTCCTCTAATTTTCAAATACCACTGTCTAAGAGAGGAGTCATACGCTGCGTTCGAGATAAAGCAGCGTATCTTATTAACAAATATACCAGTTTTGTTTTCAGCTTCCAGCTTGCAGTTTGCACAAACATTAACATAAAAACTGACATGCTAATGTGAGACGATAGCTATGTAAAGAGCTCCCGGAATTTATTTAAACGGATGCTGTACGTAAGTCATGCAGCCTAATGATCACCATGGCTGGTCGGTGCTTCCATCCGAGTCGCTGTGTCATAAACCGGCAAATCCTACTAATGATCATCAGAGAAAGCAATATAACTGGTGAACAACTCTGCGGCGACCCGCAAACACTCTCCCGAACAGAATAATGGCTATCACTGAACAATGCATTTAATAAAAGTGTTACCCCTAAAAGGGGCTGGATATGGCATATAGAAAACTGACATACTTCCTACACATGCGGCTTACGCCGGATGAATGCACTGCATGAACGATGAATACATGATTGGCAATAGCTTAAAAGTTAGATGAAATTTAGCACATACAGGGTGTCCGGAAATTATTTGCCCCCCCCCCCCCATCAACTCGCCGCCATAATTAATAAACAAAGAGCCCCCGGGGTCATGGTTTCTTTACCGCTTTATCCCCTGCCCTGTCCTACGCATTGGCATTCCATAGATCAAGATGTCCAGAGTATCCGCGCTGATGTTCAGTCATTCCTTTCACAGGCTCCTCAAAGTCTGTTTTGTGTGGGAGCTGGTTCAATCTTGCTGAGCTCCTCCCTCATGATTCCCCATTGGTTTTCGATTGGGATTAGGACAGAGGATTCCATTTGACTTCCCACTTCATTCCAGTCTTCACCATAACTTCAGCGCGATGACGCGTTGTCAAAGAGTACCTTTCATCATAGTGGAACTGGACACCACGTTCAAGTGCGAGTTACGCCTGCCTACACTGGCCCCTGGCACCTCGCAAGTGTCAGAGCCAGGTGACCAGGTTAGGTCATGTGACTAACGGACAGCTGTGGATAGCCTGAGGCACGGTCTAAGCAAATTTTAAACAGTTCTTAAAGCGCACGGTGGGATTACAGCTGAATGAACGAGGGGGAAATAATTTCCGGACACCCGGCCTTTATGACATAACCATAGGCCTATCTATAATTAATTCACTCAGTCTAGTGTATTATTCAAATAATAGAGCCTGATGATTGCAAACATTCAAACATGGACGGTTTGGGTGCCAGGATTTTTTTTGAAATTGCGTATTATTTTTGATAAATGAGTACCTACAACTTTTAAGCGAACCATGTCTGGCTGTGGTCGCCGAGGTACCGGTAAAGAAAAAAAAACTTTTTTCCCAAAAACAAAGACAAGCTCAGGTTGAGATCCGGCAGACCACCATATCACATCACGCCTGCTGAAATATGTCTTCCCAGGGCTAAATACACACATGGTCCTGCCTGGCCATCAATCCTGTTCTAACGAGGTAAATCCACCGGGTTTCACGCCTTTAAAGAAACGTGTCAGTTGTAATAAATATAGGACGTCAGTTTGTTACCTGATAGCGTTAAAACTTGTTCTTTTGTCCCAAGACGTTGCTACATCAACCAAGAGACACTAATCACGTCAGTAATAGGTCGAAAATATCAACTGAGCAGGCTGCTGATCTAGCGAGCCCAGAACCTACTCCATGGAACCGACATGACTATTATATAAAGAACATGCACCGAGCCTTGTGTATTCCCGTTGTAAGGTAGCTGCAAGCTGCGTCGCTGGCTGATATAATCCTGTGGTGACGCATAAGAAGCTAGTAATCAATTACTGTACACTTCTGCCACCTTTTGTTCCCTAATAATCAAACCAAACCTAATGCAGCTCATAGGGGGTGTATTTTGAATGTGCTCGAATACGTGAAGTTCGCCTAATTCTGTACTCGTTCAGTTGTATAACTGGCTCCAGCCCATTACAAAGACATGTCCACAGAACTGTGTAGGCGGCTCACTGACGCAGCTTCTGAGCGAGACCACCACTTATCCTTCCACCACAGTCACGCAGAAGGCACTCGTCCCCAGCCCCCGCCATTCTGAGCGCCGCCGCGGCACGGTCGCTCCGCCGCGCCCGCCCGTCCCGTCCCGTCCGGCTGCACAGCCCGCCATTCAGGAATTCAACAATGAACGTAATTGGCTTCTCCAGGATAGTGAAGCCAATATTAGCATAATTTTAGGAATTCATGTCACGTGGACAATGCCAGTATAGAAAGTTAATCGACGGAATTATTGTGACGTCACCACCATTTGACAGTTGGAGCCGCCTGAGACATTCCTGAATTGTAATCATTTCTTCCTATCAAACCCCTCGCATTTTTGTGTGGACATGGAATGCGTAGAATATAATTGCAAAGTAAATTTCTCCAAAACCGATATATCAGAATGCCAGCGAAATCCTCATCAACCTTCAACTGTGTGGTCACCACACTTGAACATCCTTTCACAAACGCACCGAACAACGCATCTGTCATATCCTTCCTATCATCACCCATCCTATTCTCTCTCACCTATCTCCAAAGCCACCTTCGTCCTGTTCACCAACCAGCTACCCCAGACACCACTCACCAGTGGTGGCCACGGCGTCGAAGCCGACAAAGCCGTAGAAGCAGCGCGCCGCGCCGGCCATGACGCCGCTGATGCCGAACGGCATGAAGCCGCCGGTGCCGTACGTCTCGTAGTCCCAGTTGGGTACCTCCTCCGGGTTGATACGCCAGTTGGCACCGTCAGCTGATAACAGGAGGGGGAGGGGGGGGGGCTAGGTAGCTGCCCAACACAAGGACGGTGGCCAATGGCAGGGCTAGAGAGCAGATGGTGGGGTTTATTTTGCTGGTGTAGCGTGGGGATGAGCTAATTAGTTGAGAAAATAAGTCCTGTCTTCTACTACAGACTAGAAAGCAAATGAAATATTTAAACGTTTGTAGAAAGGCGCAACGCGAAGTTTCGACATGTGCAGTAGCGAGCAAAACAAAACTCCAGCAGACGTTGGGTAAGACAGCTCAGGGGTATTCTCGCGATGAGTGCGAAGGTCGGGACGCACCTTTGAAGCTGCCCGTGATGATGACGTACAGCACGACCACCAGGTTGGCAAAGGTGAAGACATTGTTGAAGCGCGTCGACTCGCGCACTCCAATGGCCAGCAGCACTGGAACAGAACACAAGATTTTGCAGTCAGAGATGATAGCCGTTTTCACGACGGGCTATCTGGCGAATGCACCTAATTTGACCAAGTCTGCAACTAATCTCTTTTACAGCAAATATCTTCATTTTATGAATTTATATCAGTGTTTTAATCGATGATGCTCTCTGATAATATGACAAAGCAGGCATATAAGCAATTAGTGCAACCCTAGCTGATAGCTGCTAAGAGACACACTGAACCTGATTTGACCAAATATGTACCTAATCTGTACCAAATATGCACCAGATGTGTACCAGATGGCCGTCGTGAAAACGGCTATTGTCAACCGACATTTCCACATTCGACAATGCATACGGATTACGGATGATGTGTGGCGATAAATAAGAGACTACCAACGGCTAAGGCTAAGGCGTGGTTGATAAAACAAGAGCCGGGGAATATCGTGCTACTGCTAACAGACCAGTATAACGCCTTTTGGGGCGACTAACGGAGCGAGCGAGAGAGTGGGCCTTGCACGTGCGAAATTGCAAGGGGGTACCCCCAACTGACTTGTGCACGGCACCCTACTGACCGGTCTATAGCGATGTGCCAAATTTGGGCACAATCGGCCTAGCCGTTCTCGAGATCTGGAAGCGGCACCCTGCACGTGCGCACGTGCAAAATGGGTCCCAACTGACTTGTGCACGGCACCCTACTAACCGGTCCCTAACTGTGTACCAAATTTGAGCGCAATCGGTCGAGCCGTTCTCGAGATCTGGAAACGACCCCTGCACGTGCGCACGTGCAGCAGCACCCCAACTCTGGCACATGGATATGCAGTGCCTAGTGGGTGCCTACCTACATGCCAACTTTCAGCGCAATCGGCCAAGTAGTTACCGAGATATTGCAACAATTACAAAACTGACACCCCTTCGTTTTGCACGTGGCACGTGCATAAGGGGTCACCCACATGCATCGGGAATGGTCCAATACTTGGTAGAAGGAATGAAGCTACCCTACAAAAATTACCGCGTGTAAATCGGTCAAGTGGTTGCTGAGATATAAGCCTCGCAAAAGCGTCCGCACGGCCGGCCGGCCGGCCGGCCGGCCGCTCATACTCAGAAATTTCCGTTAATCTAAGGAAAGACTACGCTCGCTTCGCTCGCTCCGTAACCAGTATAGCGCCTTTTGGGGCGACTAACGGAGCGAGCCAGGGGGTGAGTCTTGCACGTGCGAAATTTCGAGGGGGTACCTCCAACTGACTTGTGCACGGCACCCTACTAACCGGTCTCTAGCGATGTGCCAAATTTGAGCGCAATCGGCCCAGCCGTTCTCGAGATCTGGGAGCGGCACTCTGCACGTGCGCACGTGCAAAATAGGTCCCAACTGACTTGTGCACGGCACCCTACTAACTGGTCCCTAACCGTGTACCAAATTTGAGCGCCATCGGTCCAGCCGTTCTCGAGATCTGGAAACGACCCCTGCACGTGCGCACGTGCAGCAGCACCCCAACTCTGGCACATGGATATGCAGTGCCTAGTGGGTGGCTACCTATATGGCAACTTTCAGCGCAATCGGCCAAGTAGTTACCGAGATATTGCAACAATTAGAAAACTGACACCTCTTCGTTTTGCACGTGGCACGTGCATAAGGGGTCACCCACATGCATCGGGAATAGTCCAATACTTGGTAGAAGGAATGAAGCTACCCTACAAAAATTACCGCGTGTAAATCGGTCAAGTGGTTGCTGAGATATAAGCCTCGCAAAAGCGTCCGCACGGCCGGCCGGCCGGCCGGCCGGCCGGCCGCTCATACTCAGAAATTTCCGTTAATCTAAGGAAAGACTACGCTCGCTTCGCTCGCTCCGTAATGAGCATACTTCAACCTACTGACGACTGGACGACTGAGCATCAGAAAGATGAACCGAGCAGAACGACCGGGTGAGGTGCAGCCGGCTCCGGGCGGGAGGCAATGTTAGCCCTGTGCCGAGCCTCTCCCATCACCACGGCTGCATCTTTGTCCCCAGTCAGCCGGAGTCGGCCCTGACTGTCAGTACGGCCGGCGAATAGCACAGCGGGACGGTAAATCTGACAGGTCGGCAGCGTCTGACAGGCCAACAAAATCTGACAGTGCGAGAGAGTCAGACAAGGCAGCATTATCTGAAAGGCCGGAGGAGTCCGACAGGCCGACAGAGGCTGAAAGGCCGGAGACCTCCGACAGAGCGGCATTATCTGAAAGGCCGGCAGAGTTCGACAGGCAGGCAGAGTTTGAAAGGCCGGCCCTCTCCGCCCAACGAGCCGCCGCCAATGGCTACTTGTCGGGGCCACTTTCACAACGTTGGTACTGACGACCAATAAATCACGTGCACCGGAACGGGGCTCTGACATGACAATCAACTAGCCCGCCTCGTGCTGAATAAGCCAGAGAACGGGGAAAAGTTTTCAGCGGAATAAAAATGGCATGTTCATATGATGCAGATGAAAGATAGCGAATGCAACGGACATAAATCAATCAGGCCGCCGACCAGTTCTGAAAATATTGCCACAAAATATCGAAATTGTAATAAATTAAATAAGCTAGTAAAAACTGGGAACTATGTAAACATGTCCATAAAGTTGTAATGAAGCAGCTATCTTTAGTTCAAGAGCGAATAGGTACGCCTACACATGAGATAATTTGAAAAAAAAAGAATTACCATATGCCATTAGGTGAACCTTATCCATGCCTGGCGAAAGTGGCAATCGCCTGCAATCGACCTGTCACCCGGTCACTCAACGAGAACAGCTGGCATCAAGTTTTGGGCCCGCATTTAACCCAATTTACAGCTAAAAGGTCTTTCTGAATTATGATGCCTCTACTATCCGTCCCTTCAAACTATAAGGTCCTTCACTTCATCCAGTCAACCCTGTCGACATTTCCAAGCATCAAGTTCCTTAGCTCATCTTTCAGATAAATCCCATCCCCACCATCAACGGCAAACAACCGTCAGCTATCTACAGAAAGTGTGTTGAGCGGGTCCGCATACACACCGCTCAAACGTTTAGCCCAGGATCGGGACACCAGATGATGGCCAGAGGTACGCTTCCTGCCGACAGCGTGACAGGCGATACGCGACACCCACACACGTTTACCACATTCCAACCGGGCTCAAACTGCCGGGCATTGCATTCCCACGTTGCAGGGCGGCAGCACACCCCGCAAGACAGTGCCCGCCACACGGAGAGGCGTGGCGTCCCGATGGGGAGTGACTTCAGAGAGGGAGTTCTGATGGGAAAAAATTTAAGAGCGGGTCAATCCCGTGATATGTGTGATAAGTGGTCCGTCCCGCTCACCAGTGTCATTCAAACGGAGCCAGTGTCATCCAAAGTACATCTCTCAAACTTTGCGACCACAGGTCATCTGCCGTATGTGCACTGTACACACCGGGGCTAGGTAGGGCTCTGCTTAGTGCTTACTCAATGACCTTGGCGAACCACGCGGGACTGCACAGCTCTCCCACCGGGGCCACCCACACTGCGCTGGCAAACACGATAGCACAGACTTTATCATTGCTGATGATAGAGCGACGATAACGTGAGAATATTGAGCGCTGCAGATAGAGAGCACTCTCTGGTGATCGGCTGTTTGCCACCATTGACCGTGGAAGTGCCCGACACGAGCTATCGGGCTTTTCCATGTATGCCATGTTGATACGTCTGTAAATATTTGCATCAACTGATGACCGATTCCATTTCAGACTAATACGTGCCAACAATCCATGCGTGAACCTCCCCCCCCCCCCACCGCTCAGCAACTAAGTACCACGCACTCACTAATTTAGACTAACAGTTAACGACTTAATAGAAGCAGCAACGCCATGCATAACAAATCCGTGTCAGTAGCATGTGCAATGTTCAATGTGCGCGCACAGTACACTGTTCACACATTTCAGCATGACCGAGGCACTCCTTCAATGAAGCAGCATTCGCACTGAAGACCTTGAAGATCTCTCAAACATTTAACGTAACGTCTCAGATTGACATGCTTTCCGAGGAGCGTCACGCCAGAATAAGCTGCTTCAGAGGCCTATTATGGTGATCGTATATTAACAACGATGGTTATGTAACAGTACTCAGACAAAGAAAAAATGACGGCTTAGCGCCGTTGTTGGTTAGTTCCAGAGCAGCTAAGAGCTTTTAGTTATATAATATAAGCGCATTGTCGCTTACTTATCACTGTCTACCGCAAAACTAATATACTACAGCTTTCCAAAGTATGCTATAGAGTTGGTACACTTGTATTATACCACCAGAAAAAAATTGCCACTAGCCTGCACATTGCACTTCTGCACGGGTAGATTTTACACATGTCCGTAGCACAATTGACTAAATGACATATAACTACACGTGTTCATACATATGTAAGCCCTTCACATTGCTACTATGGCCAGCGTTTACATGGCACCCGTAGATGTTCAACATGTTTGCCACGATAGCTTACATAAAAAAAACGCCAAAAAGCTGAATGTACACTATCACATCGATAGAACATGGTTTTGGTCACGATTAAATGCTGAATCCCCATTCACGTGTTCTCCCATCCAACCAGATAAAGATCCTCTGCCGGTTCATATCTTTGCACTTGCTGGCCAGGCCGGGCGTGGTTCTTGCCAAAATGATCACAGTGTCTCAGTGAGACTTTAAGAAAGTTAAATGCTATAGTAAAGCATGCGCGACGCCGCTCACGTCAATTAGCACTTTACAATGCAATGTTTCGTAAGCGCAGGCGGTGGCGTGAGTTCTCGGCGATCATGATCCTAACATGTCTAGATTAACCAATCCATGCATGACCACTATCAACTGATCATGGGCTAGTGCCGGAGATGATGGCAATGCTACTACTATTGTGTGTGGTCTATGAGGGCCATTGGCCTACAGTTTCTTGGTGAGGGCCATACGGGCGGGCATACAGTCACTCCTCCTCTCTCAATCACACAATAATTTATTAGTGGAAGGGACGATCACAAAACGCGCGAGCTATGATGA